ATAATCTTAAAATAAGTTCAATGTCATTTCGGGACCGGTAAAATGGCTAACAAGATACGATCAACTCGGGCGTGAAGAAATCGTGGCCGAAGAATGATGACTTTTACTTCCAAGGAGAGAGCTGACCAGGGCTTGAGGTAACACCAGAGATACGCATTCATTTAAATGCCGACCACACCCAACCCAACAATGCATTAAAACTAATTGACATGGCAAAACCGATTTTTTTTCGTCAGTTAATTTAGAGCCTGAGTTGGATTTAATCTTCCTAGAACAGCTTAATTGTAACGGTCATCTTCGCCATTATTTGGCGCAATTTTTCCATATGTTGCCTTCAACATCGCGCTTTATTTAAATGGCTTTCCGCATTATTGAAATGCATACTGCCCGCAGGACAACTATGCAAATGCGATTCATCGGAGGCTTTCAGCAGGATTTGATACATGCATGGAGGCCAAACTGTTCTCGGTTTCAATCAATACAATAAGGCGGTTTTCCATTAGTTTTGTGTACAGAGTGTCGGGCTGGATGGCCATTTATTTAAAGGGAAAGGTTTGAAAATTGCATCCCAAAAGGTCCACTTTTTTTGCGTTGGTTTTTGCCCTATAAAATGAATGGAGAAGCTGCAATTCTTATTTAATCCATTTCGAATCACCCTGTATCGAAAGGTGCACTAAATTCTACGCGTTTTCTAATAGAGTTTACGTGTACTTTTTCTTTACTGAGTTCAAAACCAAACTCTGATGAAAGTTGAGTTCTGAAGTTGTTAAACCAGAAAAAAATCCGCAAAATGGGTTCCAAACGAACACCGCATTTGCGGGATTAGAAGCTTCTAAATTAAAAAAAAAAATGTGCAATTTATTCATTCAAAAGCAAACGTTACTGAAAGTTGAGTTCTAAAGTCGCTAAACTCAGGAAAAAGTCCTCAAGGTGTTAAGTTACAAACGAACACGATAAGAAACTTACGAAACGAAAGAAAATTATTAAAAAATAAAATTGTGATAATGAAAAATCAAATGAAAATATGGCCAATTTATTGAGTGTATTAAGTCTTGAGGTTTGAGAAATGTTCTCTTATGTTCTGTCCGTTCTGCAGTTAAGATTAGGTGCTAAGCGCGAAATGTTAAAGTGTAAAAGTGTAACTATATCGGGAACGAATTGTCGAAGCAAGATCCAAAAGTGTACGTTTTTACGTAAAAATGGTTGCAGAATCAATGTTTTTAATAGAAATGTTGAAAAAGTGTGTCGGCCTAAAATAGCCTTATAAATAAAATACGTTTTTCCAGCTGTTATTTGTTATGTGATTCTTGAGATTTTCCAAATAAACGCAAAATCCAGAAATTATTCCAGCACCAATTGCACAAAATGACATAAGAAATCCTAGTTTTGCCATTTTTCAAAGCAACAGTATACGCAAGTGTGTAACCCCTAGTGAATTTTTAGTAGAAAAACCTGAAATTGCGACGATTTCAGAATCCAAGTGTTCAAATAACCACTTTTTTAATGCATTGTTTGACAGACTGGACCAGAGTACTTTCAGACTATACCTGGTGTTTTAGCTCAATTAACCTTGCATTGTTTTGAGGCTTTTGGATGAACAAAGTCGGGAAAGCTGGTCATTTTCTGAGAAGACAATCCCAGATTAACCCCCTTGCTGCAACTAGCAAAAAACAGTGAAATTCCTTAGATTGATTAGTCCATTTTGGTGAAAAATACGTTCAAACATGCTGAACTTGCGTTGTTTAAATAAGCTGAACTCTTCACTTCCATTCCAGCAAACTGGTTTCTTTTCATTGGCTAAAGGTCTGAACTTATCGCTTGATATAGAGGTTGGCTGGATTGTTTGCTCTCACTCTCAGGCTTCGCTTTTCAAATTGCTCGATTTCCAAGATTGATTGGTGAAACTATTCCATGGATTTTTAACTATTTCTTCTGCAAGACAATTTGTCTTATTCGCGTTGTGGAAAATGAGAAAGATTCCATTACCATTTTTGCTGATAGTGGAGCGGCGCGGCGAGGATAAAAATTAGCATATTCCACCTTGCATGCATGAGAGCGATATATTCTTACTGGTAATTTTACCCGCTAATCTAAATTGGTTAGCAGTTGCTTACAGGGTTTTTACGGCCCCGTGTTCGCGGTAAAAAAAGGCATTTTGACCCATAAAATTTCAAAGTGCGCCTTATACGACTTTTTATAATTCATATTTGCGTGCGTGGTAAATAAAAATTAACAAGTTATGACATTTTCCGTGAAACTACCCACAATGTCTTAGCCATTACATTGCGCTTTCTGGTAATGTTTTTTTGATTGATTGTTTTCGATCCCCTTTTATGTAAACCCCGCATATATCGCATGCCTTATGACCATTCATGAAAGTTTTCTTATGGACAAGCCCTCATTTCTTATTTGCTATGTCTTAAGCACGGAAAACGTACGCTTCTTCAAATAAAAACCCGTTTACAATTGCGGCTAATAAAATAAATTCTGTTGTATTAAACCTTGCACTCTGTGCCATTTTAAAGTTTAACTGGAGCAAAATGCGGAAGTGCAAGACATTTCACGAGACGTAAACTGAATATGCGGATTCATATTGAATACGGTCATTTTGTTTTATTGAAAGATAAAAGAATTTTAGAACAACTTTATTGCCACGACAAATACCTCGGGAACTTGGGAAAATGCGGAGCATTTTCTTTATATTTTACTCTTCTGGAATTTTCAATTAATGTTGTTTTTGTTTCGGCCACTGCTATTCGGGTGGAAATATCGGCGGGGAGCGCCACTGTGACTGCGACACCATAAAACATCGAAATCTCAAGACAAAGCCCTAAAGCGAACTTTCCAGAGTCTTTCCAGCTGTGTTATCTACCGCTACCAACTTACACACAACTTTTTGCAAAAATAGCAAAGTAAAACTGAGCAGTGAAACGACATTTTCCGCTACATTTAGTGGAGATAATTCCAAACGAGCTTGTTTTAGTCATGTACAGACCAGAGCCAGATACTCCATGGGGAATGTTTAACGGAATATGAGCGGCATTGATTTTATCTAATAGTTATTGAGTTACTGAGCAGCCAGAAAGATTCTTTGAAGATTGGTAAAAACGGTTCAAAATTCAGGACTTACTTTTGAGGTACTTTTTGTCAGAACCAGATGATGAGGAAAATTAAGCATTAGACAGACTCTTTTGCTCCATGAATGGTAAAAACTGTACTTAAGTAATGACGGCTTGAATCTTAGTAAATTGATCGAAATTCGAAATTTTTACAAGCAATTTCGCGACGTTACAAATGGAATTGCACACATCTGCAAACGATCCTGAATTTTTTTTTTCTAAATCAGATCACGGTGAAATTTTGAGTTTTTACACGATGTTGCCAGAGGAGGCTCAAAAGCCCTGATTTTTTTATTCGATTGGCACTGTTGAATTTTAGCAAACGGCTGGTTTTAAAATGAATATTTCGGCACAGCTGCGAGCTCTTCTTTAAAAATTCATATCTTGACAGAAAGGACAAGTAGAAATATAAAATTTTTACCCGATAAAGCAGACATTCGGTGCTCAGATTGCTAACAAATTCAGTCAATTTTTGCTAAATTCGGAAATTTTGCTACTCTGTAAATAGGAGTTCTAAAATTAATTTTCAATACAACTGCAAACTTTTCTTTAAACATTAATATTTTCAAAGTCAAAGCAAGTTCAAAGTTGCAATTTTTACAGGATATAGCAAACATTTAGGATTTAACCAGAGGATAGTTTCGTTCAATTTGCCCAATGTTCTGAAATTTGGTCATTTTGCTAGTGCTGATTAAATAAGTTCACACATTTGCATGCTTTTCTTTAAAAATGCATATTTTCTAAGTCTGAACAACTGGAAACTTGGAATTTTCACATGATGTAGCAGACAATTGAGGCTCAAAGTGGGAAAAAGTTGAAATTGTCACAAGATATAATAAAGGCTCATGGAGCAGAAAATTTTCTAGAGTTACGCTAAATTCTGAATTTTGGCATCTTGCGCGAATCCGAAAATGAAATTTTTGCACATCTGCAAATTCCCCTATAAAAATTCATATTTTCTCATCCAGATTCAAGCTTAAAAGTTTTACAAGTCATAGCCGATAATTGAGGCTCATGGTGTGCAAATTTTCGTTGAATTCTCGCAAACTGCTGAAATTTGTCAACTTTGTAAATGCAGGTCTCAAAATGAATATTTTCATATATATATAAGCCAAAGACCAAAGAACCACCAAACTTAAAAAGTATTTTTGGAAAACCATAGTAGTTTGGGACTGTAGCGAATTATCGTTTGGTAATTTTAGGATTTTCATGTGTTTCCAACTCGATTTGCTGTGGTTCATGTATGTGTTTTTTTTTAACCTTTTATAGGTTGATATTTCTAAACAAAGCTAAATCGTTTGGTTTAGGGAACACCACTGAACTAATGGTTTCAATCGACAAATTGCAATTATAAATGAGCAATTCCAATTCAATCAGGCGGTTGTAAATTCGCATAAACTCGCTTTGTGCATCTGAAACCACACACACAATTTGGTGCATGTGAGATATTTTAAATTCCACCTGCTTTTAAACTGCATTTCTGCTTTCAATATCTCTAGTTGAGTAATTACTCGATACTTTTTTTGAGCGAGAAACATTCGCATTTGAATGACGCCCTAAATGATTGTTGTGTGTTACAAGTCAAGAGCTGTTGGAGCCGGTTCTTCATTAAAACTGCTCGTTTTCTTCAAAAATAGGCCTTTGAATGGGCGTAGCAGACGACTAATAAGTTCAAAAGTGGTCCTGGAACCGCTTGCTCGTAACCGTCAAACAGCTTGTTCCACATATATGATTTTTATCAAACAACAAGAAAAAAATCCTTCATTCTGTTCTGATGGCCCTAAACTACAAAAAATACAGCCGCAGAATCACTTAGGAATTCTTAGTACCCGGAGCGACTTGCTTTGTTTATTCCCTCTATTAAAAACCAGCGCTCAATAGAATCTTTATTTTCAGGAGCTTGCGGCGTCCATTCTGAAGAAGTTGTAAGGGATGCTCGTGAAGGCCAAGATGTGACATTAGAGTGCAGATTTCCTCCGACTTCCGTCGGCTCCTTGTCCTACTATTGGATAAGACAGTCGAAAACTGGCCACGACAATGTCGCCATCAAGGAAACGCCATTTGATCCCAATTACAAGTAAGTTGGAAGATTAATTTCGTTTTAGCTTGTAAACATCTTGCCGGCTTTGTTATCAACCCGCCTGCTAGAAATTTGCTTAGTCAGGAAATGTGGAATGGGACCGAAAAAGTTCTAACTGGAGCATGCCAAATAGTTTTGGTTTTATTAGAGTTGAATTTAGTTAATTATATTAACTGGTAACTCTTTGGAAATCCATCTTGGAAATGAAAGAGTTCCTGGCCAGTAAGCGACTTTGTGGAAAAATGTTGGAGGTTCACTTCAACAAAGAGCCAGCTTGTTTCGTATTCTCGCCGTTCCATTTCGGTTGTTTTTTGATCGAATTCATATCGGAAGACATGCGTGATAAAATCACACTGTTGGCTCTTTTGCGGTTTCCAGACTGCGACATTGATTTCGATCTGTTTCCAAAATACGAGCCTCAACGGCCGGAACTTCAAAGGCACGAATAATTTTCACTTTATTTACAAAGAAACGTATTTCCAGAGAGGTTTTTCACGTTGTGCGACGCAGTCTACATAATAATGCGCGGCAAAAAATAATTAATAGGACAGAAGAGAGGCGCAGACACTGAACCGAGCGAATCCTAGTTCCTTTGACAAAAGAGGAATTTTTACCTACGGGAAACGTGCTCTGGAATATAACGAGCAGGCTCGAAGAGCTGAAATTAATTGATATTTTGGGGTCAGGTGTCTCGGGTTTTTTCGCGAAAGCTCATTAATGAGCTCGGGATTAACTCCATTTTGCGACTACAATAACTAGTCAGAGTGTAAAGTTTCAGTTTAAATCTTGCAGTGCATTAAAGGCGATGGAGAGGCTTATAATTAACCATGAAATTGCAATATTGCAGTCAAAGGGCAAATTATGGACTACTTTGCATTTCGCCCAAATTAGCCGAAGATCATTAGTTTGGAAATCTGGTCAAAGCGCGTAATTAGATGTAGAGCATGACAACTAGTGAACATTGCACATGGTGAACTAATATTAGGTGGGACTGAAACCTGATCGCAAATTGACTAATAGTTTTAGGATGGTGTAGCCAATTAGTTCGGGACTGTTTACCGCAAGAAATTTCGCTGGAAATCGATTTTTCGTTTCGATGCATGAGACAGTAGTTTTCCCAACTGATCAACAAGTTTCCGATTCGGTCCTTTGGTCGTCCACTTTCCATTAGTGATGTCTGTGTTGTAAACACGCTGAACTTAACTTCGACCTAACTGGCTAAATTGACCCCGATACAAAATCCAAATATGCCGGGGTCCGCTTTCCGGAACAGTTTGACTGAATAATTTACGCTGAAAGGGAGTCAAACCTTTAAAATTAGGGGACCAATTAAGCACTTTGCTCTCCCGCCTTCAGTGTCGTCCAAGTGCCGTTTAATGGTCAACTTTTTCAGTTGGAGATTGATTTTCTGTTTGCCAGCAATATTTAATGCCGGTCTAAAACCGCAAATCCAGGGCGCATCTTTATCTGGCATTTCACCAGTTTATTAACGAATTATGACATTTTCGGTGCCATTTAAATTCAACTAGGAAATTATACATAAGTGCCCTTTTACAGGTTGAGGTCAGAGGGTATTTTTATCGGGCAATAGCCGAGTAATGTTAATTGAACTGCAAACTCTCGAGGAAATGCGCAAAATTTCGATACTTGTTCATTCGAATAAGTTAAAACTTTATTTTGTTATTTTGTCGAAATTTGAAGAACAAAAAACATTGAAGTTTGGTATAGAAAACGTGATGAATTTGGAAGTACTAATGTCAATATAAAACCAGAAGGGCAAAGAAGCGACAGGAAATTGATGAATTTTTCATGGAAAAACATTGATTTTAAGACAGAAACTAAAAACGCCTTTTTTTTTGTTAGCTTACTACTTTTATAAGAGTGTTCTTTGCCAATTCACTAAACTTCCCAACTCATCAGTGAATATGAAAAAATTGCCTTTCATCTTATGCAATTGAGTCATCTATTCCTTTGGGCTTGATTGTCTATAGTGATTTTTCTACTTTCTCTTAAATAAATTGCGATATTACATATTGCTTCCAATCAACGCAAATTTCGCTCAAAGTGAGTTTCTATCAAAATTTAAATAKCAACAGATTSTTGGTAGAAGATTCAGTTCAAACGTATTAATTCAAGGTTTWTTATCTTTAWTATTATGATGTTTCGTACTTTTATTTATCTTTGTTAAWGTTGCAAWTACTTGCAAGATTGAAACTAATTTACAAACACATCTGATASAAGGTTTATATTYTTCAATATTTWCAGCCAAGRAAATTTTTTATCTTAGTTGAATACTGTTGTYAATTGTTAAKSTWRAAACATCCAARCAATTAAAGAATSTGGATAATGAAAATAARARWTCAGATTAATTGCACTTAAATGTKTTCACAYGAGTTGATTATGCTGTAAGTAAGTTTMATTTAAACCTTCCTTTCCAACTGGTGCAAATAATTAAAATTGAATCTTCAGTTTCAACTTTTAAAGGAAMAAATRCCTTAGTTTTTCGAGWAATTATGATGTTTTTCTCTAGAAGTTTCAATTGCGTATGACAATACTCTTAGAMACTCTTAAGGACCAGTGACTAACTTTTCAGTTTTTCAGTATTTTATGCTAAAAAAACAATAAGGTAGTTTGCTCGAAAGCTTACAGCGGACCAAAAGTTTCTCTTAGTCTAAAAGATTAAAAACTCGCAGTTTCGAAAGTTAGCCACTTGTGTTTTCAGAGAAAACAGAGATGAAACAAAAAAGTTTTAATTGCGTATGAAAAATCCTTATTTTTTCCTTAAAAATCGGGAAATTGCAAATCTAAGGTCGAAAAAACTAGAACACAAGCGTGTTTTGAAAAAAGTAGCAAGTTTTGCTCAAAGTTCACGCTTTTGTAATTTTGTTCATGATATTTCGAAAAAAACACAAACATATGTAAAAAACTCAAGCGACTAACTGTTGCAGTTTTCAGCCTTTTAGCCTAAGAAAATTATTATTTTTGACGTTTCGCAAGCACTAGTGGCTTGCATCTTCAGAGGTGGTGTGCTCGAACGCTTATAGTGGGCCAAAAGTGTTTTCGTAGTCTAAAAGTCTAAAAGATTTAAAAACTAAACAGTTTGAAACATTTCACTTCTCTTGCGATTTCAGACATGAATCAAAAGAGTTTCAGTTGCGTATAAAAAATGCCTCAAAACTAATTCTTAAGTAAGTTATGAAAAAGTAGCAACTTTTGCTTAACTTACGCGCATTTATAATTACGCGAAAATTTTTCGGAAAAAGCACAAACAAATACAAGTATTATAGACTAAGAAAGGAATAATTTTATTTTGACGTTTCGCAAGCACGAGTGTGTGTTTGAAAAGTTTCATCACTTTTTGTGTTTTCAGAGAAGAAATTAGTCCTAGTCTAAATTACTGAAAAAGTCCATAGTTTTGCATTCATTTGGTCCATCAACGGCCACGATAACCGAAAAACCTCAACCGTTGCAAGAAATTGCAACACAACAATTTACCAAAAAAAGTGGATAAAATTTTCTCCATTTGCTCGTCGACTCTTTGCCAAGCTTTTGAAAACATAAGTTAAATACTTGGAACAATCATAAACAATTTCGTTAAATTCTTGAACGTTTTTGATTGATTCCATCATTAAACCTTCACAGTAATTTTTTTTCAAGTTTGATAGTGTTTTTTTATATTTCTATAAGCTTTAGTGAACTTTGACAAAGCATGCCGAAAAATGTATCAGCAAGGTGAACGTAAAACCTGTGAACAATCGACCTTTGTTGATCGATTATCCTCCTCATACCCATCCTACTTAGAGTTAATTAGTATCCTAATCCTGATTGCCATTAAGATTTAGTCGCGTTTTTGATTATTTACGGCCGTAGAGTTCCGGGAGGATTTACGACGGGTTTCGAGTAGAAAGCCCTTTTCATTCGTTTCCATAATTCCGAATGGAGAATAATTTGCTGAGCCGTGCTCCTTGTCGGCGGATTTTAAGTGTGAAGTAGTAGTTCGAAATTTCATTCATAATTAATTTCGTATTTATATGGAACGATTATACTCGACGGGGATCCTTCAGGCCCAATTTGTATTCACAGCTGCCAGACGAGGACATCCGTTCTCTGATATTTCTTAAAACAATGCGACGAACATCTCCATTGAATTTTTATTAAAATCCTGACAAGATTTTCATGTTTTCGTAATATACTGGCACGTCCGCCACCCATTGTTATAACTTACGTGACAATACTAGAAATCTCAGCTCTGTTCGTACTTTTATCAACTCTTTTTCTTCCAGGTTAAACTATCACGTCGATGAAGGAATCTACGACTTGCTCATCAGCAACGCTTCATACGATCGAGACGATGGAAAGTTCGAATGCAAAGTGAAAGCTGCTGGCACTGGGGAGAATATCCATGTGCAGAGGTACGCTCTAACGGTACTGGCTACTCCTCAACCTCCTCAAATCGCGCCCGGAGCCAGAGTAACCTCAACAGAAGGCAAACGACAAGAGCTAACATGCAGCTCAGTAGGAGGCTCGCCTGATCCGCAAGTGAAGTGGTATCGAGAAGGTAAGCAACGATTTGAATATTTCAGACATCAGCTCTAATATTTTGCAGAACTGAACGTCTTTATTTCTGCAAAGTTTCGTCTCTACGCTCAAGGCAATTGTTCATTGTCTTTTCATCAAAAGCCGCCATAAAATGCTAAATTGTGCGTTACTTTTAGTCTCTACTTTTAAACAAGTTTCTTTGAAAAGACATTTCCATATGGAAAGAAGCGAACAAATTGCGGAAAAGTGAAATCCACTCAGAGCTTTTCGCCCAGCTCGAAAGCTATTCGTGCCTCCGTTTTCCCGACGAAGAGTTTTCTTTTTCGTAGCTGAATTATGCAACTTAGCTTTTCTGTTGCTGGCGTTGCAACCGGCAAAAACGCCTGTTTGTGGAAGCCACTAGCCATTGTTTAACGATTGTAGTGTTTGGTCCAGATGGATGAAAATCCCCATTGTTTAAATGTATGTCGGAATCCACTTTACGGCATAATGAATTTTAGTTTCCAAGTGTCAGCACGCATTCTTAGTCCCAGAGTTCTGAAGTTCTAACAGAACAGACGATCGGTTATTGTTTAAAACAGAGCCAGTTACTAGCTACTAGCTGGGTTCTATGGAATGAATGCGGTTTGCAGGAAGGCTTGGAAATTTGCTTCGTTAGTCTCAAGAAGCTATTAAAGGAGCTTCGCTAGTAACAATCTTAAGGTGAAATTTTAGTGTGCATTGTTTCACGCAAATTTCGGTCGATTTATAAAGTCAAAAATTGTTTTTTTCAATAACTCACTTTGCTTTAAAAGCTTTGCATACGGTGTAAACGATAGAATCATGAAGAGTTTGATATTGAAGAGCATACAAGCTCGAATAAATCCATCCGAAAATGATGCCAAAGCGCGATTTAACGATAAAGTCTATGTTTAGCGTAAAAAATCCCAGAAAAAAACGTAAAATGCTGAAATACGAGAAAGTGTTGGGACAGCTTCCCAAACTTTCGAACTAGTTGGGGAAAATTTGCATTTTTCTTTTATCCAAATTTTAACGTCGAAAAGTTCAGGCGAAATCACGATATGCGTACTTCGCGTACAAACTTAAGATCTCAACGATTTTCATGAATAAGTAAATTGCAAAGAAATTAGCACGGAAACCAGCAAGAAAGTCGAAGAGAGTCTGAGTTTGAAGAGAAAACAAGCGCAACTAAATTGATCCAAAAACGATGCAAACGCGAGATTTACCAATAAAGTCGCGATAACTTGAACTGGAACTGCTTCCAAAACTGTGGAAGTAGTTGAGCAAAATGCATTTTTTTAACTTAATTTTTGTTTAAATACTTCTTCTTTAAGCCAACTCAAGCCTCATAGCGATAAAATTTCAAGAGAAAATTCTTAGACAGAAGCAAAACGTATTGAAATTTGCAAACTTTCACACCAGAAAAACTATGGTAGGAAGAACAACTTTGATTGATCCAATGAGTAATTCACTGCACATTAAAATATTTGCTTGGGAAATTTTCTTGCATGACTAAACAGGAAGGAAAAAAGCACGACATCCAGCGGCAAAAAGCAATACAGTCGAACCATGGAGAAAAAGAGTTTGAAAAGCATACAGACGCGAAAAACTCCATTCGAAAGCGATTCAAACGCGAATTTTAAGGACAAAGGCGTAATAAAATATTTGGCACCGAAAAATCATAGAAAACTAATTTTGCAATCCAAAAAATTAATGTTCGGACGCTTGCGACACAAATGCGTTTTTTAGCTTAAAAACAAATTTGCTACGTTTGCAGTTATTTTACGAACTAGGGATGGGAGAAAACATCGATGTTTTCCAAACAGTTCAGCACCGAAAAAATCCCCGAAAACCTAAATAATTTTAGCATCCAAAGCACTGGAGCTTGAATTTATATACGGAAATGCCGGTTTTTAGCTTAATAAAGGTTCCAAAGTTCCTTACATTTGCAGATATAAAACCAACCGAAATTAACTTGATTTTAATCAAATTTAAAGAGGAAATTAATTTTTTCTTTTAGTCGTTCATTTCCTCAATTTTACTCATTCATCCACTTCCATCCTTTCGTATGGAAACAAGATAGGAAACTATCGATAAAGGCAACACAGTCAAAAAATTCAGACACTGAATTTGAGAATAATACAAGAGCGAAAAAATTCTGCTGAAAACGATACAAGCACAAGTTTCAACCATAAAAGCAAATTATTTTGAACCAAAAAATCTGACAAAAAAGGAAAACCAAAAAATGTTGGAAAACCAAACTAGTTGAATTTATATAAAACTTTGCAGCTTTTCAGCTTAATGCAGTTTTCTTACATTTTTCTTGTTATGAAACTAACCGAAACAAACTTGACCCCCATAAAACTCCAAGCCGAAGCTCATAAACTTAGTCGATCGGATATGTAAAGTTTCACCCATAGAAAAAACTGCAACGTTGAGTTGCGAATGAAACGTAAAACAAAACAACTCCCCAACAGTTTCCTTTTTGACTTTGCAACATTAAGTGAAACTTACACCATTCGGCTTAATTACTGTACAATAATACAGACTGGCGTCTCCTACAAACTTCTTAATCGTCTTCCATTTCTCCATGCTCGAAGTTGCACTGTCGGCGGCGGTAAGAAGTCCTCTTCTAAACGAGAAATTTCCTCGTCGAGACCCAACTTAAAGGTGGGAGAGTCGACTTGTTTAATCTAGCAAGAGAAAAGCGTAAGGCGAAAAGGCAAAGCCGGATTAACTGGTAAGGGTGGGTTTGTCGTTCCACTGAATCCAACAAGTATTTACCTAATGGATCGCTTTAATACGTTACAAGTACAGCGAGCAAGGACGAGCCCGGGTTTTATTTTTTTCTGGTCGATTTCAGGAGTATTTTACGGAAAAACAACGGGTTTTTTAAATTGCTAATTGCCCCGACGCAATCCAAACTTAATAACGTTAATAATATGAAACTGAAAAAACGCCAATCTAAATGCAAATGCCCATCAATATTTACATTTATAACGAGTTAGTTCGCTTTGAATCTCCGAAATCGGCCGATTGTGATTTAAATTAATTTTTTCCAGCCTGAAAAGGGTTGGCCCTGGCAATTTACACTCTGGAAACAATACCCGGCTTAGTAACGCTAATGGCCAAATGGATCTGGTTTTACAGGGATCATTAGGCTATTCATATTAAATGACTGATTAATCGCTTTTTTTTCTTTGCTTCAGGGGTTTTATTTGACTTTTTCATAAACACGGCCAAAGGGGATAATGTATCATGTATTCACATTTGTATCTTGTTTCCATATGTTTCCGGCTAAAAGTGAATAGTTTAACTTTTGGATAAAATGTTGCTTGCTTTTCGGAATTTTGATCTAGTCACCGAACATTTTTTTCATTGCATTTAATGTTTTTTTTGTTGTGCGTGGTTTCTTCGAACAACTGTTTAACTGTTTATATGTTTGCCTCATTTATCCGCAAAGCACTTTGTATGCATGCACTCTTGAGCGGACTGCTATTTTGATAGGGACGGAAGTAACATTTTCGATAGTTTTGCAAAATATTCAATAGAACTTTGCGTCTAACCGACCACTTAATCGCTTTTTGAGCCACTCGACTGGGCACCGAAAGTTTCCGCACAGTGGTTCGCCCTCTTCAGGCTTAGCGAATTTAATCGAACTAGTGAATTACTGGATACCCCAAACCAATAAGGCGGAGGTACAACGTGTAATTTCAAGGCGCGTCTTCAGTTCCGACTGTGAGCTTTTTACCTGCTGAATTATGCAGGGACGTTTTTGTAGCTTGCCGTAAAAAAACTCCTCTTTATGTAAGTGGCTTCCCCTTACAAGCTCCAGTTTTGCTTATTTAAGCCCGAGAGTACTGGCAATTACGTAGTGTTTTTAGTTACATAGAAAACATTAAAAATATATGTTTACAGGCTTTGCATTATACAAGAATTTTTTAAAATTTAAATTTGCGCCTCTTTGCAACTTTATTTAAAGTAAAAAACTATCTTCAATTGAGATATTTGTTGTCAAAGGCAATGTTTAAGGGCAACAATACGTCCCGGCTATTCAAATGCGCTCTCAAAATCCTAAACACCCATAATTTAGCGAAACTTCCTTTCCCGTTTATGTCTGCGAGATAAAACTAACATCTCGGCCTCTATTTGCTCGAACATGAAAAGCACGGCAAACGTATGTGCGACATAAATTTATTCAAATTCGTATTTGTTCACAAAGACCGAATGAAACGAAACATGAACGAGTGGCGAAAAAATTACGAATAAAAAAGCGTTTGAGAAAATGTAAAAGAAGCCGCCGTATTTTTACAGCAACTGATAACTGAGACTAAGTTTGTGTTCTTTTTCAGGCTCAGTATATCCATTGGAAGCAGCGCTGAAGAATGGCGGGTCTCGCGACCAACCCACTACAGCCACTTTGACGATTACACCGACCAAGGATGATGATGAGGCGATCTTCAGATGCGAAGTTTGGAATCGCGCTTTGTCTCAAGATAAGCTTTTAACTGCCACTGTGTCTTTGAGTGTTCAATGTGAGTACCCACAGGAGGATTGAGAAATATTGACAAAATAGTGAAAAGTTTAGGCATTTATAAGAAATTATTGATAAAAATCAAAAGTTTTTTATCGATTATTTCAAATTCTCCAAAGGAAAAATTAGTTTGGGATTTTGCACTTTTTCGAATAGTTTTGATGGTTTCTTTTGGTTTTCTTATGGCTTCCTTGAAAGACTTTCTCAGATGAAATTTCTTTTTAAGTCGGAGCGAAATTGGCGTCTCTGGATTGACTTGATATCATTATGCAGTTTGCTTGATTGCAAGTCGAACAAAATACATAGAACATACACCTAGACGTGTAGCGCCTCTTTGTGCATGTAAAATATAAACAATGGATGGAATAAAAGAAAAAAAATGTCTGACCAGAATAACATTAAATACATAGTTTACTCAGATATTTTACTATCTCTAGCACCTCTAACTAGAAGCATTCTTGTCTCAAAAGAAGACCTGACTTAACTTTTATTACGAAAAAGTGTCCAATTCTTCTGCTGTTGGTGGTCAAAGTTCTTCAGTCAAAGAAATAGCGGGTAAATGATGCAATGGATTTTAATGAAATTCGCTGCAAATTTGTTCGTTTCTGAGTCGTCTGAGTTCATATTTGGATGAAGCATCTGAGTTCATACGCTTTGGGCAATTGAGGAATCCCTGAGTGCCTTGCTTCGGGCTACTAAAACTACCAGAACTTTTTATTTGGTAGCTGGATTCAACTGATTTTTTGTGAGTTGATGCACTAATCCCTCCTGGACATGTTCGTGCTCTTTGTAAAATTTTGCAGCTATCATGGTTTTAGGGCAAAAAAAATATTTCTGTCTCCTTGTTATTCAAAAGCTGCAAATTTTAAATTGGCAGAAAATCAGAAATATTTTTTTTTGTGCTAAAACTGTGAATGCCACAGGATTTTGCAAAGAGCACAAAAATACCAAAAAGTATTAGTGCATCAGCTGAAAAAATATGAGTAGACTCCAGATAGCAAATAACAAGTAGTTTTTCAAGTCAGTTCAGTCAGTCAGCATAATTTTCCGCTTCACAATTTAATAGAAACTTGAAAATATAGCGAAATAAATATATAGTAAATAGTTAAAGATGTAAATCAGTGACGAAGGCTTTTGATTTTGAAAATTATCAAGAATCGGATGTATATTCCGCCTCTACAAAAACTTTTTTTTTCATTAAAAAAAACGTTAACTTTCATATTTTAGTCGATCGACTCAAAATACAATTAACAGTTAAAAACTACAAGGTTTTGAACTTCTTCGTTGTCGAAAATAATAAAGAAAATTAAATTTCATGAACAATTTATCGATTATACAATTATGTATGTGGAGAGTTAGTTCGCTTCTTTTAAAACTTTTTTTTCTTGAAACATCTAGTTTAAACATGGTTGTTTTTTTCAAAAAACGATTCAGTTCAGAAAAACCTTTACTAATTAAACATATTTGATTTTTAGAAAGTCAACTTGAAAAATTGAATACATTTCTAAAAATGAAGAAGAGTCTCATTAAAYGCTTCAAAATTTTTAGCTGATTTTACATTCAAATTCTTTTCATGGCGGAGAAATGGATTCAATTCTGGAAATCCTCACTCTCAGAAAATGAGTTTTTAAACAAGATGTTACTCACGCCCTTAGCGATCCAAATCATACAAAAACAATATTAACTTTTTACTCTTCAGCTTTTATTCGAAGAATATCAATACAAGCTGCCCTGAAGACGGTGAAAAAATTAATCGCCGTAAGCTTGGTGGCTAAAAAACTTGTAAAAATTGCAGCTATCATGATTTTAGGGCAAAAAAAATATTTCTGTCTCCTTATTATTCAAAAGCTGCAAATTTTAAATTGGCAGAAAATCAGAAATATTTTTTTTGTGCTAAAACTGTGAATGCCACAAGATTTTGCAAAGAGCACAAAAATACCAAAAAGGATTAGTGCATCAGCTCAAAAAATATGAGTAGATTCCAGATAGCAAATAACAAGTTTTTGGTAGTTTTTCAAGTCAGTTCAGTCAGTCAGCATAGTTTTCCGCTTCACAATTTAATAGAAACTTGAAAATATAGTGAAATAAATATATAGTAAATAGTTAAAAATGTAAATCAGTGACAAAGGCTTTTGATTTTGAAAATTATCAAGAATCGGATGTATTTTCCGCCTCTGGAAAAACTTTTTTTTTTCATTAAAAAAAACGTTAACTTTTATTTTAGTCGATCGACTCAAAATACAATTAACATTAAAACTAGAAGGTTTTGAACTTCTTCGTTGTCGAAAATAATAAAGAAAAATTAAATTTCATAAACAATTTATCGATTATATAATTATGTATGTGGAGAGTTAGTTCGCTTCTTTTAAAACTTTTTCTTCTTGAAACTCTAAAACTCTAAAAAAAAACTAGTTTGAACACGGTTTTTTTTTCAAAAAACGATTCAGTTCATAAAAACCTTTACTAATTAAACATGAAATTTAATACAATTTTAAAACTGAAGAAGAGTCATTAAACGCTTCAAAATTTTTAGTTGATTTTACATTCAAATTCTTGAATTCAAAAGCATTCAAAAAATGTTACTCACGCCCTTAGCGATCCAAATCAT